GTGGATGATATCAGATTCTTAGGGCATCTTTTCTGACATGGTTCTCGGGGTGGATAGGGGAGGCCTAATAGATGTAGGGGCTTCATTCTGGGAAGTTTGGAGTGGTTATGGTTTTTGCGAACAAGTCTCTGACCATTTCTTTTTCTCCAAGAAGCCCTCGCCCAGAACTTAAAGTTGCCAGGTATGGATTCTCTGTCAAAGGAAAGTAACAGAACACTGGAGTCCTAGACGCACAAAGGGGATCTATAAGGAAAACTGCCCTAATGTGATAAAATTCTGACCCTCTGAAGTTGGCAATGGCTGGGGGGAGCTTGTTGATAGCAGGGCCTGCACCAAGGCCTTCACCTTCTCTGGAACCCCTCACTGATCCTTCTGCCACCAGGCAGGTGATAGTGGGTACCACTCTCCTTTAACACCTTGGCCCAAAAGTAGACCCTGCATCCTCCTTTGGTGCCCCCAGCATGGCTAGGATAAGGCTAGAAGCTATAAACAGGACTTGACTAAAAGCCCAAGAATAGCAAAAGGAAAAAACACAGTGTAATATGTAACTAAATAATCTGGCTTGTAAAGTGTCACTTTCCCAGAGAACTGCTCTCCAGGAGTGGACTCTGAGGTGCCTATACCCTACCGCAGGGGTGGGGCCCTGACAGAGCCACTACATCAGAACACCTGCTTGGAAGCCTGAGGTCTGCATAGGACTGCATACGCCACACACCCACTGCTGCTGTTACAGGAGCCCCTTTCTCCCCTGAGGCTGCCTCTTTCCTCTTCCTCCTCTCACTGGCCTCCTTGCTTCCAAGCCTCCATTTCTATCTCAAACCCCTGAATGATTCATCTTAAGGAAATCCAGTGTCTATGATAAGCCACTCAGGGTCCAGGTGAAGAATGGGAGCAAGATTTGCCCAAGACTTAGGGACTAGCCTTCTCATCTCTTGTCACTGTACTCCAGCTCTACCCTGTGGAGCAAGACCTGCCCTCCTCACCAAGGAAACGAGCCAGGGTGAGGCCCACTCAGTTCCCCTCCTGCTGTCCAAAACACTACAGCACAGACCTCAATTCCAGGAGCGCCCTCTCCCCCTGGGTGGGCATTGCACTGACCAGCTTCCAGACCCCCAGACCTTGAGTGTCACTCTCACTGAAATGGATGAAGAAGACTGGCCACACCAGGATGTAAGAGAGGCCCTTTACTTGAGGCCCAGCAGGGGCCCAGGGTGCAGCTGCTGCAACCCCAGAGCTGGCATCAAACCCTTCTCTATGTCCCTTTGATCTCGACCAGAGGGATCACCCGCTGTAGGCTGGACTCTGCACGTTTCCCACACTGCAGGAGGGAAATGCCATCCTCTGCAGCTCACTCAGGCGCTCATTTGCTTTCTCAGTGTCCTCCCACACCGCCCCTGCTCCTTTTGGCCTCCACAGTCAGGAGTAGTAGTCACCCCATACAGGAGAGCCAAGATGGGAGGCAGTATGGATGTGCCAGAGAAGTGACACAGGGTCTGTTCAGGCTCCTGTCACTCAAGAACATTGTCATGGAGGATCCCGGGGCTGGATTCTGGTTCCAACGCAGCTATTATCTCTGCTCTCTTAAGCATATGGTTACCCTCAATGGGCCTCCGTTTTTACACCTGGAAGACACAGTAGCCAATGAAATGATGAACATGACACCACTTGGGAAAGTAGACAGACTCAGGCAAGTTGTGTTAACAACCCAGTTGCTCCTGAGGAAGAAAACAACTGGAACCACAACTCAATTCCTGAGACCTCGGGCTTATTGCTGCTCCTTTGCTGAGTGGTGCAAGAAAGAGTTGAGCCTCATTCTCTGAAGTGGCCAGATCCTGGTCAGACCCCTGGGGGATCCCCCAGAGCAAGTTGTAATTGCTTTATTGCACATATTTGTGAGGCCTGGAGCGGGGAGACTGTCTAGGAGACATGTCTCAGGAATTGGCTCCCAGCCCAGTGTGTCTGCCAACCTTCCCTGTCCCCTCCCCAGGTCACTGCCTCTGACCCATGAGGTCTGCTGCAGGAATTTTCCTCTGGCAGGGTGGGTGGGGTATGAGTGGATGGCTTTCCTGGTAGGAAGGGGCGGGTGGGAGTGATGCCCAGGAGGGTGACCACTGGTCTTCTGTTTGAGCCTGCCCGGCTGACGTCAGAGCATTGTCAGAGTATTGTGTGCAGATGGAATCCGTTTCCATCGCCACCATCCTCCAAATATCATCACCAACATCAGTGAATGTTTGCTGAGTGCTCAGTTCTGTTCTTTAGAAACAGGCCCTACCCATCCCCTGGGCTGCCCTCAGGAAAGGACAGGAGCCAGCATCCTGTCCAGGAGTGACATTTCAGGTCAGACCAGGAGGGGCCCTCCCCAAGCCCACCCCTGGGTAATAATGGCAGTTTAGAATGGTATAAACACAGTTGGCTTTACCATTTAGCACAGGCTCACTGGCCTGGATTGTTATCACCACTGTGCAGAGGAGGAAACAGGCCAAGAGGTGAAGTGACTTGCCTCAGGCCATGAAGTTAATTAGTGGCTTGAGCTGGCACTGCTTGTCAGTCCTGGGTCTTTTCCTGCCACAGCTCCCAACCTGGCCTAAAGGGACTTGGTTCCCTCAAGTGGGCTGCAGGGAGAATGTGTTGGGTGCTGCCTACTGCAGGAGCGAGCTATTAGCAGGGGCCACGTTCCTGAGTGCTTCCACTCAGGAGGCCTTTTGAATTCCAAGCCAGGGCCTTGCCTCGGTAACAAGATGAACCTACTCTCCCTGAGGGCTTAACCAGCCCCCACCCACTGACTCTGCCCCCTTTACTCTTGCCATGCCTCAGAATGGCCCCCATTCTATAGATGCATCTGCATGGGGAGGCCTGACCTCACCTGCCCCTGCTGTTCCCTCCTGCTAGGTACTCATACCCATC